TATATATATATATATATATATATATATGTAATGTATATATGTAAGTATGTATGTGTGTGTGTTTAGATACATGCATGTTCCCTTTTACATATTTCAAGTTCATTATTGTAGAGTAAATTTGAAGTACTTTTTTCTGAACTGAAGACCTATTTTTTTAGGATTATAATTTCATTATTTGCTTCTGGAAATTTTTGCTGAGTAGATTTTTTGAGTGATACCTAACAGTTTTTTAATGACTTGGTATAATAATTCTTACTGCAGTAATTTTTTCTTTGTCATTTTAAAGTAAAATGTTATGAGGAAAAAAGTTTGTGCTTTATTAATGATATTCCAGTGTACTATTTTTTGTTTTTTCTTTAATTCTTTTTTCTATTATAACCTATAAGAAGCTCCTGCCCTTGAAAGTCAGCTGACATCATTGGTCCGTCTACATTGTAATATTTTGCTAAATAGTCTTCTTTTGGTGTTACTGTTTTTTAGAGGAAGGTATGTATGATATAGTGTGGGAAATCATTACATATCTTTCAGCCTGAACCTTACGTCTTAATTTTCTGTGGTGAATTCATTTCATGAAAGCATTAATTAATTTTCCTGTCTAATACCTTCTTATCCCTATTTGATTTCCTATTTCTCTCTTATCTTCTCTGTTCACCTCACCTTTTCTATCTTTTCTTCTCTTTATTTCCCTTCATCCCCCACAAATTATCATGTCACTATTAAATGTCCCAGCAAAATGATTAAGGTGTAGCAGGATCAACGATCTCAGACTGAAGATGCAGCCGCTAACCACAACTGGTACCTTTCTCCTCTAGGGCATCAGTTGTGGTTTTACCGGTTCTGGTGTTAGCAAAGTACATACATATTCCACAAGCACAGACACTCATGTCCCCTGCTTTGACTGTAGTTATGCTGTCCTTATGCAGAGCTTGTTTGTTGTTTGAGGGCTTTTCTGTGACAGGTGACAGTCATTTAAGTGAATGTTATCAGCTCACATGGAGGAGGGAACCAATTTCAAGAAAGGAAATTTGTGTGATTTAAGTGTAGTATCTTTGTTAGTATCAACAAATGAATAAAAAAGCTTGACCCTCAGACATATTAGAATTATAAGATTGTCTATAAGAACTAAAAAGAAGCAATATTAGATCTTAATATATATTTTGATATTATGAATCAAGAAAATATTGTCAAATGATAAAAAATCATATGTAGTTTTAAGATACTTCTAGTTAAACATTTAATGAATGAACATTAAAAATGAAATACTATTGTTACTATACAATAACAAACTAAAAGAAACTTTATGAGAAATGCCAATCATTGTGCTTTAGGGGTATGTATGTTCTTTGTTCTGATGACACCATGCAAATGGGTTATAAAGCAGCTTCAGATAGCAAGCAAGAGGTGTTGTATCAGTGTTTGGTGTGGTGTTATTAACAGGTGCAGGATGTGAGGAGACATTAGTGGCAAAAGGACCACTTAGCTTCATCGCAAATAACTCTTCCTATGGTAAAATTGTCTATACCTATTTCCCCCCTTCCACTGCTGGGCATGACGAGCTGAGTTGGTCTAGGGTTATGATGAGGCCGTGCTCATGGTACAAACCATTTCCCTGTTTGGAACAAATGGAGTTTGCTTGTTTTATGCACTTGGCTGCTGGATTTGAGTTTAGGAGAAAGTTGACTGCAATGGATTAGTGAATTTTGTAGCTGTGATTATATAGCATAGTACAGTTATTTATTTCATACTTGACATAGAGCAGCTGTATATTTAATGCATGAATACAAAGCATTTCTTTATTATTATTACTTTAGTTTAATTTAGCAAGGGCTCTAAATGTTTCTACTTTTCTATAGCTAAGGACTTTAACTTTAAGCACAGAAAATATAAACACAAGTGGACAGATATAGGTTTCAGATCACACATTTGTAGTTTATAAAGTTAAAGCTTGGAGGGACTTCTCAGTTAGATATAGTTTAGTGACCGATGATGTATTCAGGGTTTTGTAGAAAAAAAATAATGGTTAAATAAATAGATAAATAACACCTTCAAAAATCAAAATTTATTCTTTGAAAAGCCACCACAAATTTTTCACTTTGCATGACCTGTAGGTAAACTCCATTCCATTGTCATTATTCTTACTTCTAAAGTTTGTTTCAAGATAGAAGGGAAATGATTTGTTAATGACACACTGCCCATCATAGCGTGGACAGTTTTGACAAAAGTCTTAGCACTTGACACACTGGAACCTTTGTCCTGTCAGAGTAACCACTGTGAAAAGTTCAAGGGCTACACTTATTTATAGCCTGCAGTTCTTTAACCATTAACTTTAGCCTCAATTTGTCTTACTGTGAAAAAGCATCATGTAATGTGAACAGTTCACATGCCTTTGCCACCCAGACCCCCCACCATGTAAAAACTGGAAGTACTATGTTAGGAAGGTATTAGGACTTGTGTCAATTAGCACTAATTCTGTTATTCATCATTTACATTGAATTTTTCA